ATTTTTGTGTCATGGCTAGTCGTCGTTAATTTCATTCGTTATTGTATTCATTCATTTATTTGGGGTAAATTAATCACTAGTAAAATACTATTCAAAACAAAATTGGAATTGTAAAATGAAATTGCAGTCCCTAAAAATGAGAGAACATATTGGTTAAAGTTTTCGTGTACATTCATTTGTTTGATTTTAATTTGGTTTTTTTAAATTCATGTCTTTCATGTTTTTGGTTAATACATTTTTTGTTTTCTTGAAACTTTTTTTTGAATTACTTTTTTTCATCATTGTATGGAAAGTAAAATACACTGAATTCAAAACTAGTCACGAGTTTTTTTAAAAACTTTTTTTTTATCTCTTCACTTTGGGTGAAATTACAATCAAAACAATTGGCATTGTACAAGGAAAATAGAATTTTGGGGGGGAAATGTGGGAAGTTGTTTGGTACACAATATTATGAAAATTGGATTAAAATTTTTTTGCAAATTAATTTTACATAAAATTACAATCAATTTGAATTATCTATAAATTAAAAACTGTCGTTGTCAGATGTATATTTATGTATGTAAAAAAATAGCACCAGTTTCATTTATCGACACAAAATTTTGGTGGTCATGCCTACCATTATAGGACACACAAAAATATCTGAAGGACCCCTGCTTGAAATTGCAAAGGAAGTCAGCCATTTTATTTTCAGGAGATCTTTTTGGGCAAATTACAGGGCTCCTACTTTGAGCTCCCACAAGGGAATTGGCCCCAAATAAGACCCAATTGTTAGCAAGTATCCTGGACAGATAAGTGTTGAAAGGGGAATTCAATTCCTATTTTCTGTTAAAACCTTAAGAGCTGGCAGAAATCGAAAGAGTATGTATTACAGCAACCCCCACCCCCGTTGGTCATCCGGAGGGTCACAGCAGGGTTAAATACTTGGTAACCCGGGGGCCACTGAGGCATTAAAATGGGCCATCCTCCTGCACGTTTGCTCAACGAGACAGCGCTTGACTCCAAGGTGACTTTTGGGGTCACAAGTTAAGCTGCCATGATCCAGGCAGGCCTGTGGTCAGTGGTCAGCTTTGTGTCCGTCACATTGCTGGCGTGGACGAGCACATGCAAACAAAGATGGCAGATGCGCTTCACTTTGGCTGAGTTCCAGTTCCATCATACACCTTCTAACGTGCACGTTGTTACTCTCACAAATTATTTTATTTGATTTTTTTTTTTAGTCATCGTATTGATCTGATCATACCGGTCTTTTGGTTAAACGATTAAACGTAGTTGAAAAATATTTTTTCCGCCATACACAAGCTGATGGTTGTGTGGAAGCTTGCCTTCCTGCACAGTCTGAAGAAAGACCGTGAATCGGAGCTATTGGAGAGTTGCTTGTTTCTTTAATCTGGATGAAAAATTTGGGTATTTTACAGACTTGGGGTACACATGTTGAAAGTGTATTCCACCCCAGGGAAAATATAACGCTGAAAGGAACTTGATCTGATTTTTAGACAGGTGGGCGTGTCATAACTAATTGACATGTTGAGTTGGGTGTGTCTTCACCTCCATGGCAGAGGCTCCGTCGAAACCGTGAGACCGATTCACCGAACCCTTAGTATTCGATCGAACCCAGGTTAAGAACCGCTGCTTTATAGCAAATAAAATTTGCTACAAAGCGTGATGTGAAATGCTAAAGTTGGCTTGATTTGACCTTGACTAAATTAAGTCATGACCTAATTTGAGTCCCCTCAACCCATCCGAGCTCACCGATTCGTTGTAATTATTTGTAAATGATGCACCCTGTCATGCTAATTGGTAATGCCTGCTAAAATTGGCTTGGTTTGACGAATGTGTCATTCCTCTTACTCACTCCTGCACAAAGTCCAAACCAGCCCTGCCCGCTGCCTAATTTCATACGAAATAAAAACACTGTTAAACTAAATGCTAATGCTAACTAACGTTAGCTGCGGGCAATGCAAAAAAAAATGCTTCATCAACAAAGAGTTTATTCAATAAATAGTTCCAATTTCATACGAAATAAAAACACTATTAAGCTAAATGCTAATGCTAACAAACGTTAGCTGCGGGCAATGCAAAAAAAAAAAGCTTCATCAACAAAGAGTTTATTCAATAAATAGTTCAAATAAATATTTTTCACAACCAAGAACAGGAAAAAAAATCCAAAAAGAGGTATCAGATGCTAATTATGCTATTTAGCATCACAGTAAACAAGCAAAAAGCATCAATCTTTGGCGAGATGAGTTGCAAACTGTACAAAAATGAGTCCTCATATCTTCAAGAAAAAAAAAAAAACAACAGTGCAATCTTGTCAGTCGGGGTGGAAAAAAGAGAATGTGGAAAAAGTGCTTTTTCTGAGGCGGTCGCGGAGATAAATCTCTTTACAGCTCGTCTCTTTTAGTAGAACACAAATACCTACCGGGGGACTCGTAATAAAACATCCATGCACAATACAAACACAATGCTTCACATGTGCACTCCTCACATAGGTAGAAGGTCAGACCCGAAAAAAAAAAATTGGTCTGAAAGTCCGTTTCCGGCCGTGATCCTACCAGGGCTCTGAGCTGCCGCAGCTGGACCCGGGCGAGAAGGGCGCCTCGGTGTCACTGGCCAGCGTCCAAGGACGCGAGGGCGAGCGCAGCTGCTCCATGTTGCCGCGCAGTAGCGTGAGTAGGGCGGCGGGGCTGTGACGGTGGTCGGCGCGTCCCTCGCCGCCGCCCTGGCTCTCCAGCAGGCGCGCCAAGAAGTCGATGTAGCGCATGGCCAGCCGCAGGATCTCGTTCTTGCTCAGCTTCTTCTCGGGCGGGTGCGTGGGGATGAGCTTGCGCAGCTCAGAGAAGGCGCTGTTGACGTTGTGCTGGCGCCAGCGCTCGCGCGTGTTGGTGAACACCTTCCTGGTCATGATGGAAGAAGTGGAGAAACCTCTGGCCCCTGCGCGAAAACCACAAGAAATTGTTGTTAATTACCAGCTCAAATTTGCGTATAAAAAGGTGATTTCCAATAGAAATTCCATTTTATTATAATTTTTTTGAACATTTGACGCGGAAAGAATTTGTAATAAAGCAATTTGCAACTCTGACGTAGCCCTGCTACTTTTACTTTGGCGCCATCTTGTTGCATATTGGTGCCAAGGAACTGTTGAAGTCGATGGGGGGGAGGAGCTTTGTCAGTCCACATCTCCGTCTAAATGAAAAGTAGTGCTTTACTGCCATCGTTTGGCATCATTATAAACAGATTTATAGAAATCAGCTGATTTCTGATAAATCGTCTGGCCGACTGATCCAGTAAGTATCCTGTAAAACTGTCAAAAACTAAGGCCGCTTAAACGTGACCCAATAATCATGTCGGGTGAAGCAGCATGTGGCTCAGGGAATATTTGTCATTGGAAAATGCTCAGAATATAAGTAGTATTAAAAGCGGGTTTCACTTGGAAAATCCTAGTTTTTCTGCAGGGAAAATGGTAAAACAGTAAAGCCAAACGTGAAGGACATTTGACAAAATGATTGGATAACTTTTTTTGTAAATGTAATTAACAGGTGTTATTACATAGTGACGGAATTTTGACCTTGTAGTCGGCGTGCATTTTATTGAATTTGCCATTCGGCCATTGAGGAAGAAAAAGTGGGCAAACTGCCTTTTTTAGTGAATGGCATTTATCATCAATAATTTGATTTTTGATACAAAATCGATGGTGATTCCAAGCCAGTTGCATTTTATTTTTTTAAGACATAAAAGTGAGTTGAGGCATGTTTTGCCTATTGCAATTTTCATTTTCTTCTAATCGCAGTTCTTTTTTTTTTTTTATTTCCTCCAGGCAACCGAGATGACACTGTCTGGGGTCTGATGACTGACAGTAGGTGTTACTTTATTTATCCATCCATCCACTACATGCACCGCTTATCCACCACTTGGCAAAATCTGAGAAAAACCATAGTTTCTCCCAAAACAAGACTTCGTCAGAAGTCAGCATTCCCATATCGTCTCCCAGATTGTATCGCAGCCATAAAACTTTCAATCGTCCCCCATGCTGATGAATATCAAAATGTCCTTCAAGCCAAAATGATCCTTACCTTGTTGTCAACGTTGTCATGAGCAGGAGAGCAGAGGGAAGAGCCAGCTTTGGACACGCACGCAGAAAAGGGTACTGCCGCATGATCGCGTCTGACGTTTTATAGTGGACGTGGTCATTGTGTGAGGCAGGGGGGCGTGTGTGGGCTGGGGGTTAGGGCGGGGGGTTCGTCAACGCCCCCCTCACCGGCCCATCACAACGCCCATCTATTATGACCACAATGAGGCGTCTTCCTCATCATCCTCACTCAGCGCTGTGTGAACACTCGCAAGTGGGCATTCTCACTCACCTCCTCTCCTCCCTCGATAATTGATCGTTTCGTGACAATTATTATGATTTAATAGCAATGGTGTCCCATGACCCTTATAATACCGGACTCATTTGCAAACCAGGTTGAGCTCATAATAAGCACTCTTGTCATGGCATAATAAGCATATTTTTGACTTTTTTTTTCTGCAAACAGTATTTACATTTTTTTTCTTTGAGTTCAGTGCAATTTCAATTTTCCTCCCTCCCCGCCCCCAGTGAAAAAAACATAACCTTGAATAACTGATTTCACAAGTTTTGAATAAAAACAACCAGAAAAAATTATTCATGTTCACATCCAAACTGATGACCTAACATGAATAAAATAAAATTTAGAAAAAGTAGACTTTTCGGTTCTTTGTATCTTTGTTTTATACAGTTAGAAATACAAGCAATTAATCAATACACTTATGAGTTGTTTCATTTCTTATTTTTTAATCTTACCAATTTCTTGATGACATTTATTTTATTATTTGGGAGTTATTGTGAGGTGAAGCACTTCAGATTTCCTGCCATGGCCAGAAGATCACGTAACTCGCTGAGCGTCCAAGCTAATTGCTTTGATGCTATATGAGGCCTGTTTGCTATGACATGAATCATTTTCAGTTTTTTTCCCAAATTTTAGCGGGACCAAAATATTGGGACTTTGGCTGCAATGACATCACATTCTTTGAGGCGTACCCCCCCCTGTTAAAAGGTGACTTTCCTGTAAACTGAGACGTCGTTCTCTCTTCTCCTACCGCAGCGGACACGTCGGACAACCCACCGTCACAAACACCATTACGCCGTTCAACATGGCCGCGAGCCACATTTGAATCCGACCTGATTGGCCCACAAAAGGTAAAAGTAGCATATCCAGATTGACAGGTGAACAATGTGCGTTTTGTGCGCCGCTGTGGTAATCTTGTCCAGGCCTGGCACATAAATTAGCCAGCAAACACTTGTCCATGCTTACTCAAAAAAACTGCCCCGATTTAACCAATTTTTTTTTGTTTTTTTTACACCCTTCAAGTGTTGTTTGAAAGACGCAGCCTTCCGTGAGACTCTCTGTGTGGAGTAGGAATTAGCATAATCCGATTAGGCGGCCGGGATTAGCCCCCTCAGAGCCCGCTTTTTCTGAATCAAGCATTCATGGGCGCCGCCCTCACGGCCAAGAGGCCGCACCTGCAGGCCCGACGCCATCACGCTGACCTTCTTCACGCCGCTAAACTCCAAATATTTGGGCCATTTCATTTCGTTCCCCATCACGGGAAGACATTGGAATCGTCTGTTGGTTCAATAGATTGTGCCTTGAGATACGAGTGACTTTATTGCCGAGGTTTTCAAGATAACAGCTGTCATGTCAACAGCATGTTCTTTTTTTTTTTGGCTCTGATTTACAAGCGCAAACTTGTATGGTGGCAGTGACTCCGCTCAATTAACAACAGTTACACAGAAAAGATAAGTGGGAAAAACAATCTGAAAAAGAGGAGTCGAGTTGTTTTATTGCCGCTCCCATTTCAAGTTTACTGTCTAACTACACATAAAAACTGCGAATTACACTTTGTGTATTGAGCGCGACCACATGGTTTAGCCTTCGGTCTGCTAGCTTAATGCTAATGTTAACAAATAATGCGAAATGCAACTGACGTGCTAGCGCTAAAAAGCTATGTTGCCATGTTTAAACAAAGAAGGATTGATATTGCCGTGATGAGAATGTTGTAATGTCGATTGGTTCCCCATTTGGAAAGGATTCACCGCGCTTCACTTTTCCCACATTGTAACACATATGCAGCCATATTCTGATTTGGATTGAATCCATTTTTTTTCCCCTCTCCAACCCAATCCATCACCTGTATGTGCGACACAGGTTGATGGATGCTGGCGGACACTTTTACTGCGGCTGCGATCGCCGATAACAAGGTGACCTTTACACAGGCGGCCACTTTCCCACCCTACAATCAGCGCGCCATTACGCTCACTGTTTACCCACCGAGCCTTTAACGCAGCTCTTCGGACACGCCTCCCTCACCGCCTTTGTCCCCCCTACGCCATTAAACAACATTGTCTCTCTCTCTTTTTTTTGGAGGGGTGGGGGGGGCGTCACAGGCTCGTTAGTTGGTTATTGATGCTGGCCAGTCAGTGTGGGATGAGCCTGTCCGGACGCTCCCAGTCCAAGTCCCCAGGGGTGGTCTTTGTCTGGAGGACTTGGGGAGGAGGTGGGGGGGTCATTCCTCGGGGAGCTGCTTGACTGTGCTGGCTGGTAAAGATAAGCGTTCTCTCTCCACATGCTTAGGTGGCGATAAGGGGATTGCTGCACTCCGCACTTGAATGTTTTTTTGACACACTCAGCGTTTAATTGTTGAAATTGAGAAACACAGCACACAAAAACATTATATAAATACACCACCGTGTTTAAATACTGCAATGCTTGCTGTCGTCCGTAAACTTTGTCGAACAAATCAATCGTGAACATGTGAAATAGTTTTATAGGGAACGCCGAACTGGAAATGAACAGAATGGGTTCATTTAAAAAAGTTTAAGTCGGGTCTGTCCGTCTGTCCGTCCGGGCACCTTCTCGTAGCTCAGCCTGCTTTTCTTCAGAGGAGTCGGCGCTGGAAAAAAAAAAAAAAGCGCAATTATTAGCACAGGTATTTTGTTTTGATAGGTCTGAAACTTCTTTGTACATGACAGAAAAGAAAGGTTAAACAGTCTGTATTGCTTGTAGGAAAGACACTATGACCGTTGTTTGTTCCATGTTTGAACGCATCTCTCTACCAACTATGAACCCGTCGACCCACTCATCTCCCTACCATGTACTTACATAGTGTAGCTACCGACCCACCTGTCTCCCTATTTTATTAGCTACCTGCTACCAAACCACCCATCTACTCACTATCTACCAACCTACCCACCCATATTTTCATATCCAACTACCAACTGACCTTCCTTTAGAATGTGACCATCTACCTACCTATCAATCAATCAAACTACTTACCTGTCTACCACTCTATTGTCCACCAAAATAAGTTTAAAACTGTAGCTCACCTATTCTTGTCAAGCATGCTGCCTGTTCACTTCTCTTCCTCTCTTGTCCCATACAGCATCGTGATCCATAGTTAGTTGACAATCTCCCTCCCGTGCGTGAACCTCGACCAGTTGGGCCTCTTCTCCACAACGGGCTCTTTGAAGGAGGGCTGAAGTGGCCGAGTAGGGCGTCCAAGGACCTCGAACCTTGTTGCGACAACTGGCCACTCCCTCTCTCTGCCACTCCGGCTCGGCCCTTGCCACCAATTAAAACCTCTTCCTGGCCGGTTTCGTCCTTCCACAGATCAGCTCCAGACCAGTGGCTAAGCTCTGGGCTTCCGGCAGGCCACTTCGGGTCGTGGGTGAAATAAGCAGGCTCCTCCTGAGAGTAGAAGCTGAGTTCGGCGTCATCTGGGGCCAACAGGAAGCTGGGGTTGACGCTGGGAAATGGTGCTGGATCGGGAATGGCCTCCTCGGGTTGAGGAGGAAGTGGAGAAGCAGGAGGAGGAGGAGGAAGTGGAGAAGCAGGAGGTGGAGGAGGAGGAGGAGGAAGTGGATGGACTGGACCTGACTGGGCCGGCTGAGCTTCATACAGGGAGGTGGCATTGCTAAACAGCTGACATCAGGAAAATAATATGAGGTACACCTACACCCTTTGGATAGGGGTGTGTAGACTTTTTTTTTTTAATCCACTGCATTTGTGTGGGTGCGCCAATTCCGATGCCATTCTTCAATTTTTGAGCTGCTCAGTAACAGTTATTTTAGTAATCGATTAATCTGTCAATCATGTCTTGATTGATGAATCAAAAATTTTTTTTAAACTCTTGAAACAGTGCTTGTATTTTGGAAGACGCACGTGTACCCAATGAAATGTCCCACAGGAATACCTTCAGGACCTTGTGCGGCACCTCTGGCAACATCTCCGCCAGCTGCGTCAGGGTGGCGCCGAGTAGCCATGGCAACGAGGGCACCCTCCGAAGCATCAGTTGAGCCACTAGGGGGTTGATGCAGGGGAAGTGCGACAGGCAAAGCTCCTCCTGACCAACGTGGGGGAATGTAAACGTGTGACAAATGCAAAGAGTTGACGTGGAGCTCACCTGCGACGACGTGACGGCCAGCCAGTCTCGCTCCAGGTAGTCGACGGGATCACGACCGCTGCACATCAGGCTGAGGAAGCAGATCCGGTTGACCCAGCGGGCCACTTCTGACACCTCCATTGCAATCAGCACCTGCCGCATAAGTAGTACTATTCTAATCTTACGTCGCAGAAGAATCCACACAAGATGGGCGCCGTTGGCTCGGTACCTTGACGTCCAGGTCCTCCAGCTTCATGCCGAAGAGCACCAGAGAGGAGTAGACCATCACCAAGTTGCTGAAGGCTTCGCTGGAGAACCTGCACCAATACGATCATCGCGCAACATCAGCACATCTTTTGATCAGCGAGCGTTTTAAGGATTGACGTGTTGATAGTAAGATATCACCCTGAGTAGAACTGACCCTCCCCCCTTGCCGTCCGGGTAGTGCAGTATGATCCAGCAGTAGTTGTACTGCAGTGACAGAGCGGTGAGCCTCATCGCAATCGCCTCGTAGGCTCGCTCCTCACACAGCTCGTCCTGCTCCTATGCACACAGGAAGTAGGTGGGGTCACAATAATATCAGCTTTCAATTGGAGGGCGCGTTTGTCTACCTGAACAACGATGGCGGTGCTCTCGTCCACCGTGATGACAGAGTAGTGATTGGTCCTGCCCAACATCTGCAGGGACGGGCAGTGGCTCCTCTCCAGTAGCATTATGTTGAATCTGCAAATCCAGCCCAAAATTTTTTTTTTAAATTAAGTGGTCCTGTAATTTTGTAACTTAGGTGGTAGTGTATGCGGCAGGACCAGGGTTTGAAGTTAAACCCCTACATCCACCCAGGCAGATATTCTTTGTCCTCTGCGAAGAGGGAAAAAATATTTCTGCAGCTTGTGTATCCACATGTCTATTCTACTGCCCCCAGGTGGCCATGGTGTGCACAGCAGAACAATGTCCATCAGCACATCTTCTGATCAGCGAGCGTTTTGAGGATTGACGTGTTGATAGTAAGATATCACCCTGAGTAGAACTGACCCTCCCCCCTTGCCGTCCGGGTAGTGCAGTATGATCCAGCAGTAGTTGTACTGCAGTGACAGAGCGGTGAGCCTCATCGCAATCGCCTCGTAGGCTCGCTCCTCACACAGCTCGTCCTGCTCCTATGCACACAGGAAGTAGGTGGGGTCACAATAATATCGGCGTTCAATTGGCGGCGCGTTTGTCTACCTGAACAATGATGGCGGTGCTCTCGTCCACCGTGATGACAGAGTAGTGATTGGTCCTGCCCAACATCTGCAGGGACGGGCAGTGGCTCCTCTCCAGTAGCATTATGTTGAATCTGCAAATCCAGCCCAAAATTTTTTTTTTAAATTAAGTGGTCCTGTAATTTTGTAACTTAGGTGGTAGTGTATGCGGCAGGACCAGGGTTTGAAGTTAAACCCCTACATCCACCCAGGCAGATATTCTTTGTCCTCTGCGAAGAGGGAAAAAATATTTCTGCAGCTTGTGTATCCACATGTCTATTCTACTGCCCCCAAGTGGCCATGGTGTGCACAGCAGAACAATGTCGATTGAATTGAAGAAACAATATGGCATGTGTCATTACTGTACGTTTTCAAAAAGTAAAAACTATTCTACCAAAAATAAATAACTAAAACACATTAAAACAATTTGTGTGGCTTTCGGAGGCTGGAATGGATTGCTGATATTTCCATTTTGAGCCTTCAGTTAAAGGCACAGGTTTCAAAAAGTAAAAACTATTCTACCAATAAATAACTAAACACATTAAAACAATTTGTGTTGCTTTCGGAGGCTGGAATGGATTACTGTTATTTCCATTTTGAGCCTTCAGTTAAAGGCACAGGTGGACTAATTCTCCTTTTGTGTGCATGCGACTGGACTGTAAGCAACACTTGCGTAGATTCCAGCATCTGCAGCAGCATAGGCCAGTTGAGGAGCGACTCGGTTGCCAACAACACATATGTCACCTTGTCCTCCAGGCTCTTTTCATGCTCCCGCTTATCTGTGGAAATATTAAAAACCAAATCACCATCCGACCACAGAGAAAGGACCAAGTGAGTCACACGTGCTGACCTTCGCCAGGGAGCACGGTGTCGAAGGTGACGTGCTGCGAACTTTCGGCACTAAATAGTGGCAACCATTTGTCTCTATAGTGTGTCCCACATATTTGCAAATTTGCTACTTGCCATTTCACTCATTCGTTTTTTGTTTTGTTTCTTTTTTTTTTTTTGCTGCATAGCAAAAGCTGCTTTTGAGATCAGGCCAAAACCTTGTCAAATAAAAGTACTGCCTTGGCGCAATCTTGTGCGAACTTGGTGCCAAGGAACAGTTCAAGTGAGGGCAACTTTCAGCACTACATAGTGGCACCCATTTGTTTCTATAGTGTGTCCCACATATTTGCAAATTTGCTACTTACCATTTTACTCATTCGTTTTTTGTTTTGTTTCTTTTTTTTTTTTTTTGCTGCATAGCAAAAGCTGCTTTTGAGATCAGGCCAAAACCTTGTCAAATAAAAGTACTGCCTTGGCGCAATCTTGTGCGAACTTGGTGCCAAGGAACAGTTCAAGTGAGGGTAGATTTATGTAGATAGAAAAGGAGTGCTTTGCCACCACCGTGTGGCCTTTATAGGAAATGATAAGCCTTTTAAGTCCACTCTTATTCATGTTCTTGATAAACTTACCTGCTGACAACATTGGCGCCGTTCAGTTTGCTCTTGTCGTTATCAGGGCGAACTGTACTTACAGCTGTAGCGATACAAACAGTACAGGAATGTGTCACGGTATTTCATGCTTCGTTCGAACATTTGGCTGAAAGCCTAATTAAGAGTGCAGTACCACCACCTAGTGGGCAAGGTTGTCAATTACAGATTTATCCAGCCTTTGACAAATTTGGTTGATCAAAATTACAAAATAAGTATTTCTCTCGACAGAAAGTGTTGAGGATGTTAATGAAAACTTACCAGTTAGTTTTTTCAAGCTTTGCACGATTGTGGACATTCTGTCGTCACAATCAAGCGACATGATGACAAGAATCTGCAGCAAAACAAAGTGATCATCGTGCTGTTGTGGTTCTTCTCAAACCTGTTTCAAATACCGACTTTGTCATTGTGCAGCCGTGCCGCCACCAGCTTTTGCAGCTCCAGCAGTTTCCCGTCGGACTCATGGTTCCTGCGCCCGAGGTGTGAAATGATGTGCAGCCTCCTCAGCAGCTGAATGACGTCCGTGTCGGTACATGTCTCTGTTGCCTTGTTGAGGTACTCTAAAGCAGAACATTTTATTGATCCAGGAGAGAAAATGTAATTCTAACAACAATTACGTGTGAATGCAATATATATATATATATATATATATATAGAGAGAGAGAGAGAGAGAGAGAGAGAGAGAGAGAGAGAGAGAGAGAGAGAGACACCTCACAATCAAAAGTGTTAATTACCCCAAAGCACATTTTTTTAAAAAAAGACATAACAATTGACTGAAAATTATTTTGCCAACAAGCTCCAGCTCGCGGAGCCCGGATTGAGAACCACCACTCTTAAGATTTAAAGTGTTAGCGATGGGTGGTGAAACAAGCACACAGCAATGTCGTTACGAACCCAAAGCGGCGCCCACGTCACACTTGAACAGCAGCTCCTTGGCCGTTACCAGCATGTGGATCACAAGCACCCGGTGGAACAGCTGCTCCTCATCTGCACGCAACACCACATCAACGCTGCTCCGTCTGGTTCCCTCCACGAGTACGTTCTCCTTCCTCTGTGTCCTACCTCCTCCTTCCACTTCTGTCCTTCTACACAGCGCCATCTCTCTCTGTTTGAGAATGTAGCGCGTCTGGTCCGGGGCCAGGCGCTCAAAGTCGCTCCAGGCGGGGAGCTGAAGGCCCAGCTCTTTGGCAGAGGACAGACGAAGCCGGGCCAAGGACAGCAGCTCGCGGTAGGCCTGACGCTGACTGTCTGTGTGCAACATTAAAACACATCTTCACGTCTTCCTGAGTGTGTATCCGAATATTTCTCTGTATTTATTTGTGTCAGTAGCGATGAACTTCTTGTGTGTCAGTACTAGAAAGTGAATGATAAAAGTTACGAAACAATATGGCGATGAATGATACATAATTGTGATTAAATATGGTATTTGTGTAAAAAAAAAAAAAAAAAACAAGTGAAAGACAAGTTTAAAAGAATTTGTAAATATTACACTAATCTAGCAAGAAAATGTAAGTACCACCAACTGCCTCCAAGCTAAAAAACTTAGCATTTCTTTTTGTTTAAATTTTTTTTCATCATTTCATTTTTCTTTGTTCAATACTATCGGTACTCCTACTCCTCCTCCTCATCCTTGATTCCAGACCATTTGTGCACTTTCTTGAATGAATGCCTTACTGTGGTGGTGGACAGTGTTCGGAAATACTCTCGACAGTACCATTGTTGCTTCGTTGTGTTGTTTGAGGTTGATCTCGATGCGGACACGTGACGTGTCGTCTCCGTGAAGGCGGCTTCACTACCTACCAGTGGCTTGGACTTGAACCACTCTGCTGTTGGGCGCATCCTGGCCAGCAGTGGTGATCTGTCCTCTCGAGGCGTGTCCCGACGCCGCGGCTGTAATGGCGGCGGAGGCGGCGGTGGTGGTCTTCCCGTCTGATTTACGTATCTGCTGTGGAGTAGACTGCACCTCAGAGAAGCTCTCTTTTTCTTGTTTCTCCTCCGGCGCTGATCAACACACAAGACCACAAACTTGAAACTTTCTTGACAGTGAGTGAGGAACAAGTTTTCAAAGAATACTTTAAAAAGTGTGTTTGGATCAATGAAAGTGTTTTTGTAGTTCTTAATGTGTCTGAAGTGTCCCAGGAGAAGCAGGGGCACCTGCAGTGGGAGTGGATGCCCGCTGTGACCGCAGCATCATGAAGGTGGTCAGCGGGTCGACGTGCTGCACTGGACGACGTCTGGCTGCCGTGAGGACGCCTCCCTGGTCAGCCATTTTCTGGCTTCGGAAGTTGCCATCCGTCTTACGAGATGAAGGTATGGGCAGGACTTGGACAGATGACTTGTTTGCGGTTTTGTTGTCAGAGCTTGTTGAAGGTTTGACTTCCTTTGTGTCAAAAGGGAGCGTTTTTGGGGAGAACTCAGAAGAACCTGTGTGCTTTTGGACCAAGACAGCAGCAGTTTCACATTCTTCTGGGGGAGGTGAAATACTGTGGAAGCAGTCTGAAGAGTCAACAGGAGAAATTTTAGTTTGCTAGGGCTTAAGCACCAGGGCCCCTAAAACTTGCAGGACATGTCTGACATAAAAAGAAACATGAAAAGGTCTCAAGAACCCAAGCTGAAAATTGTCCAAGAAGTCCGCCGTTTGGGCAGCCATTTTGTTACATGCCAAGAAAGGCACAGGAGATCTGCCATTTTGGTTTGAAGCACCCATGTTAGATTTATTTTCAACATTTTCAAGGGTCATTTTAGGAGGAACTTATTTGAGAGTTTTTGTCAAATACTGACTAAATTTAAATCACCTTGTGTATAATCGACAGATGGGTGATGATTAACTGCCAAGTAGCATGATGGCAAAGGTTGATGATTCGCCAATAATGACAAAACTCTTGATAAGTCCACTCCACATGGTCAGACATCTCTTGTCTGATGAAGTTATACAACACATGCAAAAAAAAAAAAAAAAAAAAAAAAAAACATCAATCAAAAGTGAGTGAGCTCACACTCACCATCACGTTCTGGTACCACTTTGCTGAAGTCTTCCACCACGCAGTCGTCCCCATAAGAAGGAACCTCGGTGCTCAGGCTCTCCGGAGTCTCCCGCATGCGACCAAACAACTCTCCGAACTCAGTCTCGACAGTCAAACTCTCCAAGGGGGTTGACTTCAAGGCTTCGCTCAGAGGCTGGAAGTGAAAGGCTGCTTCTTCTACTTCGGGTTCTGTCAGAATGATACAAATGAATCGTTCTCATGTCTTGTAGATCAGATGCGACAACAGGAAGCTCTTGATCGTACCTGCAAACAGCAAGCGCAGTACATCGTTTGAATACTTCTCGGCCTTCCAGAGTGCCGCCACCATCTGGTTCTGAGCTCCCGGTGACACTAAAGAGCTGGAATAAAGCAAAGTAAAAAAAAACCACATACATTGGATGCAAAAAATATACATAGACAGACTGTCTTAACTCACATGTCCGTTGGAGACAATTCTTCCCTCTCAAAGTCACATATGCTCAGACAGCCATGGTAGTGACCGGTGGCAACACGAGGTGGAGTCAGAGTCACCTCCAGCTCCATTTCGGTTGGAAGCGTAACCCATTCTGAAGAAAAACAAAACACAGTGGAAAATCTAATGTTGATTCTTGGGATAAAATATGTCCCTAAGGGTGCACAAAACTTGAAACGCTAACCTTTGCATTATTTTTACTAGAAATGGATATAATAGTTAGGTCTAGTACCGGTATCCTCGGGGGTTATTGTATGTGCCCAGTTATGTATCAGAACCAGTACCAGAGCCAAATTATAGCACTGCTACACTTACCGTACCAGTATCCAAATCAGTTAAGAGTTCCTGACTAAGATAACCTATGCCTATATGTGTCCCACAGTGCGCAAATTTGCAAGTACAAACACAAGTTAGAGTACCGGTTCTAGGACATTTTATACACTAAAGCAAGTACTAAAAACAATTATAGTCATATCTGACCAGTTACAGGACCAGTCCGCAGTCTGGTTACAGGACAGTGCCACTACCAGAGTCAGTTATAGGACTAGAACTGGTTCCACAACCAGTTGTAGTACCTACTCCAGTTCCATAACAAGTTATAATACCAGACAGGATCAGGACCAGTATTTTACCAGTAACCAGCCACTAACAGACTCACAGTACCAGGACCAAACATAGTTACAGCACCAGGACCAGAACATGTTACAGTCTGAACACCAGTTCCACAGTTGTGCCAGAACCTCACTGTTTTACATTACAACCTGGAGGGGCGTCCTTCATCCAGTCTCCTTTGCCAGTCGTTTGCACTGAAGAAAAATGAGAAATGTCCACTGATGCCGGCTCATCTGAAAGAGAAAATAACGACATTTCTCATCATTTGTATGTGTCCTCAATCCCAACAACCTGTTTGTTACCTTTATAAAGCGCCTCAAGGTCAGGAAGTTGCTCGTTCTGCTGTTCTGCAACAACGGACAAACTACGGCAAACACTCGAAAAGCTTCTGGGAGAGTCGATGGTCATCATGCAGTTGTCCAGAAGCTCAGGTAACTGCAAAGTCTACCAGGAGAAGAATGAGCGGTTTTTCGACCAGTAAGTCAAGAAAATAAAAAATTTTAACTTGGTTAAATTACCTCATTTGGCATTAGTGACTCTTTTGTAAACACCTCGGTGATATCTTCAATGTGCAGTTCATCACTGGACCTTTCATAAGGCACACAGTGCCTGCAAGTTTTACATTTGCAATTAAAAAGAGCATTTATGACATGAATGTGATTTATAATGGTGGCAAGTAATGAATTACCAACACTCTACCGTTCCTCTAAATTGAGTCAGTTCTACTTTCTACTCCCCCCCCCCCCCCCCACACTTTTTTTTTTTTTTGGGTGATGTAAACCCCAACCACACTTGATATTTATTTAATTAAAGTGTACTTCAATGTTAGTGCACCTGAATATTGCTTCCTCGGTGACGGAGTCTCCGCTCAAGCTTATTAGCGGGTCGGCCACCAACAGGGTCTTCAGACGGGACACTTTTCTCTTCAGGGTGGGCAAATGTTTAAAACGAGGCAGGAAATTGGCGGCCATGATGTCTTCTGGTAGGAGCAGGTCTGCGAAAATCCAACATTGACTAATACAGTGGTACTTGGACTTGTGACTTTGATTTGTGAGCTTTAATTGTTGTGAACTAAAATGCCATATTCACGATGAGCAGATGTTTGGGGAACACTGGACTTAAATAGCTTAATATGTCTTAATTTAAAAGAATTCATCAGTTGACATGCTCTTAGATCAATGTATTGGAGTATTCTTATGCACATATTCACGTGAGTATTTATTCACCTTTTTCTTTAGTTCCAAGATCCAGCTGCACAGTCAACTTGAGGAATGATTCCTCAAACAGACGAGGAAGCTTCGACTCCTCACCCTGGTGGAGAAGCTCTGCTGAGGCTGCCGGACAGCTTGCTCTGTTCTCCATCTTGTCCTTGATACTCCCAAGGTCATCAAATCTGGAGTAAAACAAACCAGTTATTCTAAAAACTACAAACATAGGGCTGGAGTCTTCGCAAAACCTCAAAATCTGTTATTTTATGTATAGAGACCACAAAACCAAAAAAACAAACTCCAAACATTTTCACCTCACACATGCCAATTATTTGTATTTATTTATGTGTTAGGCACAATTTGGTGTAAAAAAAAAATGAAAACCACAGATTTAACGGGCACGTCACTTTTCTGTGAAATTGTGTTCTGTTATTCGAAGGTCATCCAGGACGGAAGTGCTGAGCGTACACGTGGAAATCAGCTTCCCTGAACAAGTAAATCATCACAATTACATTTTTAAAAAAAATCATATTGCATGCTCGATTAAATTGATGAGCAAAACCGCTGAAATAAGTTGTACCTCTGAGCCAAGGTTTCCTGTAAGTGACCTCTGCCAGGGTGCCACTGTGAGGGTAATGGTCATCCTTGTAAGGTATGTAAGGTGTGGGTAGGGACAACAAATCCATCATCACCGTCAGATGGTTTCTGGTCTGAGAGTAGGATTGATAGACATTTGTTTTATCGGTTCTTTTTTTCTGTGATTGTTCATTGTTATTTTAGCCATAAACCCACCTCGAAGACGTAATCCAGAGCTATAAAGCTGGCACAAGGGAACATAGTTGTATGTCGCACCTGAAAATATAACCAAATTAATTTAAATCTTTGTTTTAAAAAATCGCGGAGGGGCGAATTTTTCTCTTCTCATTTGGAATGAGAACGTATCAATTAGGCTGGGCTAATGCTAGCTAAACTACCGCTAACAGGTAACAAATAATTTAGCGACCATTTTATTTGATTATGAAAAGTAATCTGTTCTAATGAGCCACTAAAATTTAATTAGCTACAATGGTTTAGCGCGACACCTCACCTTTTTTTGTTATAAGTTACCTTTTGTGATTATTTTCTCCGAATGGCAAAAGCTAGCTTGAAATCGATGACCATCAAAGCTCTTCACTTGGTGAGAATATTCGCGCCTCTGCTAGAGTCGTAGAAGTTTGGTACGTTTTTGGGCCCTTAACTAGTTTATAAGGCAGAGCTGAAATATAAGAAATTATATTAGAAATACATTTAATATGTTAGACTGCTCTTGAAATTATAGCTTACTGAGGAATAAACCTCAATTCATCAAACTGAGGAAACATTGGGATATGTTATATGCAATAATAAGTCTTTGAAAGGTGGTTAGCATGTGGAAAAAAACGTTATCATGCTAAATACTTAAGATACATGTTTTTAAAAGTAATGTCTCTCCAACATCAATGGATGGAATCCTTTTTTGGAGTAATGATTTTGTCCACCAGGTGGCGGTATATACCTATCTAATTAATAGAAATAAAGTACAGTACTGTACAATGAAAGAATCATTTAAAAAATGATTTACATTTAACATTTGGTGAAACTCATCCTGCTAAATAAGCAGATATACAGATATTTGAGCATAACTAAAAAAAACATCTTTACATTTAGCATGTTGCTTGCTTATTTCTTTTTTTTTCATCGAGCGCTCGCAAGCATTGGCTCATCTTTTAGTCATCAAAACATGTCTTTATTGCTTTTGCAACTGCAAATAGAAAAACACCCTTACCTGTGTTTCCTCTTATTTAAGATTAGACAATTGTGAACACCAGAACCCGGTGGCGTGGCACTGCGGTCGACTGGTTAACATGTTTGCTAAACAGTGCAGCGGTCATGGGTTTGATTGTGGGCCCCAGCCTTTGTGTGTGGAGTTCTCCCTGTGCTTGTGTGGGTTCTCCCCGGGTACTCCGGTTCCCTCCAACATTCCAAAAACATGCATAGTAGGTTGATGGATGACTCTTAAGTTGTCCGTTGGTGTGATTGTGAGTGTAAATGATTGTTTGTCTACTGTATATGTGCCTTGCAATCGGCTGGCAACCAGTTCAGAGTGTACTTTGCCAACAGCCTGAAGTCACCTGGCAAGTCTCCAATCCAATCTGTTGGGTCAAAATAATTAACCCTACCTTGAATAAAAAGAACCCAATCTGCTCACAGCGAGTGGGTTAGAAAATTAACAACTCAAATTGAAGAAGATAATAATTCATGGCTCATTTGCCTTTATTTTAGCGGAAGCCCAACAAGACCAAAACATGTATGCGTAATAAATTATATTGTTTGTTGTAATACAGATTAATTTATTACCGGTACTTGTTTTTGTTAAAAAAACAAAAAAGACACGAAAAAAGGATTTCGAAAAAAACCCACGTTAAATTGCAATTACAATAACGGGGGGTGGAGGGGGGGATCACAAGTAGTTTATTTTTCTAAATCAGTTAGCTTTAATGTCTATCATAACAGGATGCGAAAAAAAAAGAATGAAAATATGATTCGACGCCCCGTTCCTCACTGCTTGACTTTGATTATTTTGTCATATTCAATTGCAGTTTTCCTCGTATGTCAGGGCAAGGCACAACCTTTTTGGCAATGTTACATTTCCAACCAAATAAGGTTTTCTTGAGGCTTCATCCATGGAACAGCGGGTGCTTTTTAGGGGTGCGTTCGCTTCACTTTTGCTCATTTTTTACGCTCCTCAATCTGCTCCACCTTGCTGGACTCGTCCACCACTTTGCCGTTGATCATCGTCTGAGTGACCACCTTGACGATCTTCCGAGTGCGCACATCAGGCTCTTCTGAGAGGGGGTTGAAACAACATAGTTAGCTGAATTAATTTTGTCATTTAATTTGTTCTGCAACCGAACTCGTTATCCAGTTTACTCGTATATCAAATCAGTTTTCCCCATTGAAAGGAGTTGAAGTTCATCCGGCCCCACCGAAATTTTTTTCATAAGAAAATAGCACTTTATCGTACAACATAAAAGGTATACAGTTAAGTATAATATAAACACAGTTCCTCGATCTAACAGAATGAATTGATAACTTAAAAATATTAAATACATACATAATGTAAAATATACATGTAAAATATGATTGTTGAAATTAAAATGTATGTGCAACAATTTTAATACCGAATTTCTGAATTAACTTAAGCAAATTTGGGACTCACTTTTAGGAGGCGGCGGAATTTCTTTCACCCTGCAGGACAAGAATTTCGGTCAGAACCAGTTTGTGTTTTTACATCTCCCTCACGTCACTCCATGGAAAGGTGTCCTTACGTTTCCTCTCCTTCCAGCAGCTTCCTGTAGGTGGCGATCTCCATCTCCAGGTTCTGCTTGATGCGCAGCAGCTGCTCGTAGTCGGTCTTGTGGCGCTGCATGTCCAGGCGCAGCTGCGACAGCTCGTCCTCCAGCTGCGATAGCGCCACCTGCAGGCGCTCCATTTCCACAGAGTACTTGTGGCCCGTCTCTGCAAGGTTGCCCTCCAGCACGTCCACCTGGGAAACGCACAATGCAGGTATTATCAGTGTCTTGATCATCCTGCTTCGATGGACGCTGTCTCACGACACGGCCGTGTTCATGCCCACAACGGCGCAAAAACACTCTTTTTAAATGCATCACACTGCACCAGCTAGGGCGGGTTTACTAAAATAGCAAAACTTAGGGTGGACATTTCGACAGCGCCTCGGCACAAATGTGGCGCCCTGTTACTCACTGTGAATGTTCAGCAGGGACCTCACAGTAAACAGACACGGCACCAACTGCCAACATAATTATATCTTCACTGTGATTAATACGGTTCGCGTATGTGTGCTGAGCAAACACGAATCATCGCATGCATGCTCAAATTGTTTGCAAGCGGTGTATGTCACCGTGCGCTTTCATAACTGCCGTGTCACAATGATTGATTAGAGCACAATGAATGTCACCAGCTGAGTACATTTTATGCTGCTACAAAAACAAAGTTTTCAGAGCTTGAAAGAACCCTGCTTCAATGCCAATGGAGCTTGGCAACGCGCTGCGCTATTTAATTTATGTAATAGATTACAGTCACCATCAATTCATCACATGTTTGGAGAATACGTGCACCAAATCTCAGCGCGGGGCTTGGGCATTAACAGGGGCAAATGGGGAATAAGCGGATAAAATCACAGCATTAAAAGGTGATTTTGGTGAACGCGGGTGTGTTGGTGCTGGCGCTTACCTGCTTGCGAAGACTGTCCATCTCCACCTCAAGTGCCTGCAGGAAACGTCGCCTCTCGCTCAGCTCACTTTGGGCGCAGCGGAGTGCCTCGTTGCTCTCCTTCACCTCCGACTGCACAGCGTCCAGCTACACGCACACACACACACACACACACACACGGTGATTTTGGTGAACGCGGGTGTGTTGGTGCTGGCGCTTACCTGCTTGCGAAGACTGTCCATCTCCACCTCAAGTGCCTGCAGGAAACGTCGCCTCTCGCTCAGCTCACTTTGGGCGCAGCGGAGTGCCTCGTTGCTCTCCTTCACCTCCGACTGCACAGCGTCCAGCTACACGCACACACACACACACACACACACACACACATACACACACACACACACACACACACACACACACACACAGAACAAATAGTTATCCCAATATTGTGGGGAGGGGCGCAATTTGATTAGTTTTCATAATTTCTCAACTGAACATTGTAAAACACAAAAGCAATCATTTAAAAAGTCTGAAGTGTAGCGAGGGAACACCGTATAAGAAGAGCATTTGCTGAAAAGCGACTGACCTTCTTGAGGTACCAGGCCTCGGCCTCCTCCTTGTTCTTGCGTGCGATGCCCTCATACTGGACTCTGAGCTCGGCCATGACGGCACCCAAATCCGGGCCCTGAGCGGCGTCCACCTCCACGTTCACCTGCTCGTTAGCCAGGCGGACCTTCAGGGAGCTCTTCTCCTAGTACCGAGACAAAACATCTTGATTCATATAGCGCTTTCACAACAGAACAGTTCACACAAATAAAAAACAGGAACGAGCGCCCATATATCTTAAACTGATCTTGATCCACCTTAACAGACAATTCTCATCAGGTATTTTACACAACAGACAGTAATCATTATTTGCAATTTTCTTTTGGAACCAATCCTTGCTGTACATGTGCATTTTTTTTCCCTCACATGAAATCATCTGCAAGACATTTTTTTTAAGGGGCTTAATATCTTGACCGTCACGTTATGCGTCACGGCCCTCGGTGCTTGGAGCCTGATTGGCTCTCGGTTGGTTAGTCTTGCGTTGCGTTTCTACTTTCCCTTTTTGAAGGTGTGGCTGTGCACATTTAATGTTTTTTTTTTCAATGTCATCACTGTCCAAACATTGCAGGTCTGTTCCAGCTGCGTCACCGATAGCAAAACCAAACATGAGAGGACGCTTTTACAACCACTATCACCATAGCTGCACCAATGGCCCAGCTGTGGTACCTTTGTACTTAATGGACATCCTTCTTGCAAAGTCCTTCTAATGCACTTTATGGACTCTTATGGATGGCAAAGACCAAAGGGAAACATGTAGTAGTGCCCTGAGAGAACTCTGAACTCTCAAATCAATTCTTTCCATTGAAATGAATGGAAATTCTATGAATGCGTTCGAAATAAATATCGTCATCATTGTTACATTCTGTATACAAGCAGCATCATTTCTGGGGAAGTGCTCGGAGATTGAAACAATTCCAAAGCCTCACCTCATCGTGGTTCTTCTTGAGGAAGTAGAGCTCCTCCTTGAGGCTGTCCAGGTCCCCTCTCAGCATAGATGTGATCTGGTCGTGGTCGGACTTGGCTCGTCTCAGGGCTTGGCAGTCGCGCTCTACTGACTGACACAAGGCGGCCTCCGCCTCCCACCTGGGCCAACAGAAATATCCCCAAATAGTATTACTGTACTTGAAGAAAGTCCCTATAAATACACAGTATGCCAATTTTATGACCTTGTTCTCTATATATATATATATATATATATATATTTCTTTATACTTATCGCATTACTATGGTCGCATTACTTCCCTAAAATGCATCCATGGAATTTCTTTAAAATGGTTGACCAATTTCCTGTACGATTTCAGGCCTCTGTCCTTGAAATTTTTGGTGTGTGTTGCAGAACATCGCGGCAATTGAAGTCGTAACACGATAGGCGGCAGAGACACTTGCCAAAGGGTGTACACCGAATGGAATGTCTCAAATGGACGCACTCCGCCACTGTCATTTCGCACGCTGGCGGAAAAGCCATTAAATCAAATGGCTTGGCAGTCTGGCACTCTCGTGTGAAGACGAATACTGTGTGCGTGTTTGTGCATCTCACTTGACCCTGAAGTCGTCGGCCGCCAGCTTGGCGTTGTCGATCTCCAGCATGATGCGGGCATTCTCCAGGGTCCTCTTCCGCACCTAAGGAATCCACATGGCAGTCCGGTTAGTTGTCTCTGCCAATCAAGGTGGCAAAGTGAAAAACATCGTTGTTGTTTGTTCTGGGTTATAAATAATTTACTGAATGTTTCTGCATTTATTTAGTGCGGATACTTATTGTGATTATTTTGCCTTGGTGGCGGTTTGCTTGGTAGTAGAAGGTCGTTAGGTCATTTGTTAGATTGATCGGGGGGTGGGTAAGTATTTCTGTGGGTATGTACTGTAGGTAGTTCGTAGGTAGATTGATCGGTAGGTGAATTCGTAGGTGGGTCGGTCAGTTTCAAGGTCGTTAGACCAGTAGAGATACCGGTAGTTATGTTTTGTCCCCTATTGTGTTGCTTTTGCAGCTTCCAAGGATCTGACCTCCTGCCCGATGGCGTGCGCCTGAGCCATCATGTTGTCCACGTCGTGTCCCCTGGGCTGCCTCTCGGCGATCAGCTGTTTGATCTTCAGCTCCAGCTCGGCGTTGGACCTCTCCAGGGAGCGCACCTTGTCCAGGTAGTTGGCCAGACGGTCGTTCAGTCCCCGCATGGTCTCCTTCTCGCTGGCCCCCGCCCCCAGCCCGTTCAGGGACAGGCCAGCGCCCAGCAGGTGGAGCCCGTTGCCCACCGACATGGAGTGCGACAGCGATCGGGCGCCGGCCGTGGACGCGGCCGGTCTGGAGCGCGCGACGCCGCGGGCGCCGTCCCTCGCCGACACGCTGGAGAAGGACGGCTGGCGTACAGAGTAGCTGCGTACGGACAGCGTTGACGCCATCTTCCTGCCATTTTTGCACAAACAGGCCACGGTCATATCGTGGCTAACTCTTGCTTTGAATTGCTATTTTGAAACCCGACCTGGCTTGAACTTTTATCTCAAAACTTTCCCTTGAAACGAATTTTTAAAGCCCTATTTTCAAACCTTTATTTGAAACCCTGTCTTCATACCATATATTTAAACCCTACTGTGAAACCTTAATGACAACTAGAAAGCGTACTTTGAAACAAATACATATATATAATCATCTAAAAACATTTTTGAACCATAGTGAAGCAAATTTTAAACCAGCCTGTACCATTTATTCCTCTAAACATCCCCTTCAGTGGTATTACTGTTTTTTTTTCCTACTGTTATGATCCATTCGTCAGACTTACGAAAACCCGACCTGGCTTGAACTTTTATCTCAAAACCTTCCCTTGAAACGCAATTTTAAAACCCTATTTTCAAACCTTTATTTGAAACCCTGTCTTCATGCCCTATATTTAAACCCTACTGTGAAACCCTAACGACAACTCGAAAGCGTACTTTGAAACAAATACATATAATCATCTAAAAACATTTTTGAACCATAGTGAAGCAAATTTTAACCCAGCCTGTACCATTTATTACTCTAAACATCCCCTTCAGTGGTATTACTGTTTTTTTTTCCTACTGTTATGATCCATTCGTCAGACTTACGTGATTGCTGGAGCTGCGGATCTGCTGACGTTTTCCCAAAAGTGTCCTGTCCGTGGGAAGCGGGGCTGTGCAGGTGAGCGTGGCTGCACAGGATCGCCTCTCTGTCCCTTAGGGTGGAGACGATGAGAACGAGGAGGAGGACGGGGAGGAGGAGGAGGAGGAGGAGGCGGCAACACGACACCGTGGACGTGGAAAAAGTTGCCTACCTCAACGCAACCTGCAGAAAGGTTGATTGTGAGGCAGGAAAAGTGTGAATTGAATTAAAACTGGACTGACATTTTGCAAAAAGCATTTTAAGATGGAGATGATGCATACCTGCGGTCTTCGTTGACTCCAAGCTGATCCTCAATGACAAAACTAGTTCGATAGAAGTATAGATCCAAATCCTGTTTCTCCATTGAAATGAATGGAAATGCCGTTAATCCTTTTCCAGCCTCCCCCCAAATTGAAAACAAAAAACATCTGTTGTATTTTTTTCCTTTAGATGAGAAAAATAGCACTCTTTAATAGTATACTCTTTAAAGACATGCGGAAATAACATAATTATGTAGAATTCAAAAGGATTAATCAGATCTTGTCACACTTTCTCATTCACTTCAGTGTACATTGTGCTGCTGCCTGCCTTGGCCACCGGGCGGCGGTATAAGACAGATGTACAGCTATACATTACTGTACATAGACGTCTGGACACAGAGGATAAAGAATTTATGACAGTGAGTACTGTTATATTGAATGTCTAAATGTGTATCTGCACTGTTTGTGTGCAATCTGTTTTTGCATGAATATTATGCTAAGCGTCAATGAAATGTATATTTTAGAATATTCTGTTGTTCGATTGAAAAATGTTCATAAAATTTGAATTTAAAACTTGTTCTTATCAAACTTAAATCATTTGAATCTCAACTTGAAGGAAATATTTTTAATACAATGTAATTAGATTCTCTATTTTCTTTCACAGTCTGAATATATATTTTTTGTTTTAAAAATTCCTTTGATATGTGAAAAGTATTTCCGTTTATAGCACAGCGCCTCTTGTAACAATGCATGGAGTAGAAAGTAGACATGTCTGTTGTCAAACACGGAGAGGTTAAAAATATACTCGAGTAAAGTACACCTACCTGAAAAATCGAGCTAAGTACGTGAGTGAGGCACTCGCGCAACAATGGCCCCGCAAGACAGGGATGTGAGAAGCGGGGCATGGCGACGAGAACAAAGGTGCCAAAGAATTGAGGAGAAAGCAAAGACCCCTGAGAAATCAAAAGGCGTTCCCGGGCCTGAAATGGAAAGCAGGTTTTGCGTGCACAAAGCACTCACGCGCAGCCATGTTGACTCTTCTACTGTATATTCAGGCCATATTGACTTACATTTCCTGTAAGCTATCCCTCACCACAAAGCGTATTTGCCGAGCCCCAAAATTGGCCATACCGGAGTTATCAAGAGTCCACTGCATATAATTGACCATTTAGACACGTGTGAGGGAAACGTGCTATTATTATTAATAGAAAACATACAAAGCTCAATAATGGTCTCATTTTTATTTCTTTATCAATTTCATACAGTTATGCTGTTTTTAATAGGATAGCAGTTCGTATTAAGTCACATTACTGTGTTTAACGAACCACACATCAACAGTTTTTTTTGGTACTTTTTAAAATAAATGTATTCTTTTGAAATACATGTCTATCGATATATTTACATGATTTTTGTAAATATCCCCTTTTTCATGGAAATTACTTTCATTCCATGGGTGAAAATGAAACAACGGCCTCCATCAGTTCCTCAATTACACTTTATTGGGACTTCATATGGTGGTTTTATTTTCTTACCTAAAAATACAATCAATCAAAAGTAATTGCATCAGCAACCTTCTTGGTATATTTTTTAAAATGTGGTCTAAGAGTACAGTATCGGTGTGTGCGTGAGGGCGTGGGGGTGGGTGTAGTATCCGTATGGTCTCCAGGGAAGAAAAGATCGTATGACCATGACTGACTGACCTGGTTCAGTGACTCAAATTCAGTAGAACAACTTCCGTTTTGTTCCGAATTTGTTCTATTCTTTACTTGCATTAGTCAGAGCAACTAATACTCAACACAAAAAAAAAAAAAGTTTCCCTTTCCATCTCACCTTAAAAGGTGTCCACACCGCATCAAATGCACAGATACCTTTAACATAAGCTCTTATATCCGTCGTCAAATTAATATGATTATTCAACGCCTTCCCCATATTAGATGCCTGATACTCTCTGCGATTCAATTGACGAAGAAAACAAAAGACGAAAAACAAAATCCCCGAGCCATTTACAGGAGGAAATGTTGCATTTGTTTTTTTTTTCCGGTCACATAGTGAGGGCTGTGCTGTACAACTGCTGCCCCCTTGTGTATACAATACACACTACAACACGGGTTCGGTGGTTACAGAAAACATTCAATGATTGAAGAGTATATTTGTCAGTGTATAGGTGTGTAGCATGTGTGCAAAAACACATGATCAAAGAAACAAAGGGGCTTATCAAGGGCAAAAAATGTGTGGGTGTGTGTCAGTGTTCTCCCAATGTCCCCCTCGTTGGGCCGCCTGCGATCACAGGAAGACAGAACGTAACAATAATCACAGGCGTATATTCTTTATCCTCTATGAAAAATGATGAACATGGCAGCATCTTACTGAGTCACAGTCGAAGAAGAAGTTATGCTCTTCTTCATGATTTGCTTTTCAAAAGTACGTCCTAGAGTGATGGTGGGCGTATGTTGCGAAGTTTGCTGCGGCATCTGTTGGGGGTGTGTGTTAAAGTACACTTGTATCTCAGATTTTTGCTCTTATCTCAAGACAAAGCATCAGCCAAGCAACGGCTTGCTTCATCTTCTTCTTCCAAAAAAAAAAAAAAAAAAAACAATTCAAGGCACTCTATAGCAAGGCTCCAGTGCAGGCAACAACTTAAGATGTATTGAGTGGGACAACTGATTTTGTCAGTTAATCACGACAACAGCCACCTTAACCAAATCTACAGATCCACTACTAATAAAGTTGAAAAATTAATACAAAAAAAGTCAACAGCGCATGAGCATATTTCAGTGTATTTGTCCTATAATGAATGTGATTACTGAGCAATCAGGGGTGTATTCATTCGCACTAGGGTTCCGCTTTCATGTGCGAACACTCCGGGATGCCAATCACGGCGGCGGACATTCAGGGAGGTTCCCGAGGAACCATCAAAAGCGCCTCAAACGCTGGATTTCATAGTTTCCTGTTTCGACGCTGATTTGTTTTGTGCAGTGTAGTGCTGGCAGGTGGCCTGAAATTGTGTATGGAGAGGATCAGCGTTCCTCTTCGCAGCAAGATGTCCGCTTGGGTGCTGATGTTAGCATACTGCTAATCGTTACTGATTACAGCATCAAGTTTGACGTCAGTTTAACTCCTTTGCAGGAATTACAAAATAGATGAGCTCGCAACACCACTTTCATGTGTTCCCCCCCCAAAAATGTCATTTTATTGTTTTATTTGAAAGGGACAATGCAAATTAATGAACACTGACACAATATTTGCGTAAATGTGGCCAAGTTAGCATAGAGCTAATTTCCATTCATTGTCCCTTGGCAGGTAACATAAAACATAGACAAGTCATACAACACGTAAAAAAAGAAATAAACAAATAAATCTTTAAATAATTCACACTTTCACGTTTAATCAACAGTCTAAAGCGCCTAAGTGCAAGTAAAGTGCATTCCGTTTTGTTTTGTTTTTTTTCTTTTTTTTAAGACCGTGTTTGTCCATCTTCGCGCCAGTGAATCCTCTCATATTGGCTGCACACGTGAGCAGCGGTTATTAACATCATCCTCCTCCTTATTTGCTGTCAGTCAGGGTGACAAGTCGAGATCCTTGATGCCAAGAGCTCCAATAAGTTGTCAAATCACCGGCCATTAGACACATCGATCACCCAAAATTGGCGGTGCTAATGCGCCTGTTTGCGGCTACTCAAGAAAAGCACTTTTCATGTCAACACCAGACTTTTAAGGACAGCCTCCTTGTTATTCAATATCTATTTACATCACAATGTACAAGCAAGTCGTTTTCGTCGAGTGCTATTTTGGGTCTATTTTGTCACAATGACACAAAGACAGAAGACGTTAAAAGTTGCTTTTGTGCTCATACACAACTCAAAAACAAAAACTATTTATAGTCCGGCCAATAATGTAGCCATTTAATTTTGTGTGTTTGTTAGTTTGTAACCATTTTAGGCCTATTTCTAACATCACCTTTAAAATACTTTAGAAAGAACTGCAGTCTTTTTTTTTTTTTTTTTTTTTTTACTGCAGCTTCCATTCTTGAGGTTGATTTCAAGTCAACCCACAGCACCAAATCTGCACTTTTAAGCATTTCTGATGAAGAGTTTTTAGCGACTGATAACCGGAGACAAGACTTTTCTTTTTTCTTTAGGACCTTACCGCTGTTTCCGACACACTGGACCACGATATTCTCATCTCTCGGCCCGAGCGTTGTGTGTGCATCAGTGGCACTACCCTTCAAACTTTTGACTGGTAGTGCGGATGTCATCATGAAAAGTGGATGTGGGATGTCAACGCCTGATGGGCATTTGTGGTAGAGGGAGGCCAGGATGGCTCAAGTGTCCTGGTGAAGCGGCAACTGCTGAGAAGGGATGACCTGCGGCAAGAAGAGGACACGAATGGGTCTCTGGTCTAGGTATTTTGATGAGTTGGTGGATGATATTTCTGTAAGATAATTCGCTAGTTACATCGATAGTTACAGGATGTTCAGTCGATTGGGAGGTAAAGAATCAAATCTCTTACTTTGCAGGTATTCGTGCCGGGCCAGTAAGGGTCTGTCTGGGCTAGTGAAGGAGGACAACTGGCTGTCGTCTTCATGCAGAGAGCTGGAAGAGGAGGAGGGCATCCTGGCCAGTGAGAAGCTCTGATGGGGGAATCCACTGGTAGCGGGAAGAGGAGGTTGCTTTTTGTAGCGAGCACGACAATTCTGGAACCAAACCTGCAACAAACCGGACATATCGTCAAGTACGTTTAATTCCTTGGAATTTTTATAGATTTTTTTTTTTTGCAAAGTATCAATGAGTTTGTACCTGTATAATGCGCCGACTCAATCCCGTTATTTCTGCCAGTTTCTGCAGCGTCACGGCATCAGGGTTGTTGTCCTGGGCAAACTGGCTCTGCATCACCTGCACCACAAAGACACGTCGACGAGAATCATGAATGAGCAGCCTGTGAATATTCTCATTCATCCCGGGTCATTTCATGCTCGGGGCAGGAATCAATCGCAACTGGAGTATTGTTGGTTGTCTTAGTCCAAATCACCTTGCATCCGAGCGGGCTTCGTCAGTTTATGCAACTTGTCCTTGTTAGGACTGCACCAGCTCGAGTGCAAAACAGTCCTGTTGAGATCCGTTCAGTGCCCTGTGGATCAGCTTTTGTGTGGTCAAGTTTATAGTCTACAGCTTAGTATGTGGTCTCTGATCATATGGTCGAGTTCATGGTCTATGGTCAAGTGATCTCTGGTCAAGTCTATGTTCTGTGATCACATTTTTGGTCTGTGGTTGGGTCAGTAGCGTCTGGTGATTTG